TGAAGCTCCTTTATTTGAATAATATCCTTTCCCACACTTAACACATACATTCATTCCTTCTCTTTCTGCATATGTTCCATTCTCACATAATGTACATTCTTTACTTCCTTCTCTATTTGAGATTGATCCAATTGGACAAATTTTACATTCTATTGACCTTGTTTCATTTTGATAATATCCTTCACTACACAAATCACATTTAATACTTCTTTCAAATTGAGAATATGTACCTACAGGACATTCTTTACATTGACCCGATCCTTCTTCATCTTGGTATTCTCCTTCACAACATTGTTTACATTCTTTTTGACCTTTTTCATCTTGATACATTCCTTTTGAACAATTATAACATCTATCACTTCCTTTCATTGAAGAAAAAGTACCAGTTGGACATTCTTCACAGTATAATTGCCCTTCTATGTTTTGGTATGTTCCTTCTTCACATAAAAGACATTGGCCATTTACAAAATAAGATCCTTTTGGACAAGGTAAACACTCTTCTGTTGTCTCGTCAAACAATTCTCCTTCTGGGCAGCCTTCATTTTCTTCACTAGAACTACTTGACTCACTTTCAATAATTGTTTCGTAATTAGTTGATTGAACTAAAAAGATAAGATAGAAAAATGCGATGTAATTGATTACTGCTCTTTTCATTTGTTCTTGTAAAAAAACTAAAAGCAAAAAAAAATTTTGAAAAGTTATAAAAATTTTATTATTATTATTTTATAGTTTAAAATCAGTTTTTTTACTATAATTTTTCAAATTTCTTTTCTTATGGAAATTTCTAGAAAAAAGAATTTTTTAGGTTTTTGAATAAAAATAATACAGAAATACTAACCAAAAAATTTTTATTTTTTCTAATAAAAAGTTTAAGAAATAAGTCAAATATAAAAGAACTCTATATTTTTTATCATAATACTTTAATTTTTTCAATAATCTTTCAAAACAATATTTAAAATACTTTTTCTTTCTTTACCTAAAGAAAAACATACACATTTTGAAGAAGAATAAAATTGTTGGTTCTTAATGCTAAAAAATACAAAATATATTTACAGAGAGTAATCAAAAAAAATCTTTACAATATTAAAAAACTTGATAACCATTATGATATAAATATGAAAAGATAAAATCAGTACTGATAGAATCAAATCTCATCACTACACAAAAACAAAAATACTCATAAAATAACAAAATTAAATGAAAAGAAAATAATGATTAAAGTATTCTAAAGGTATTCCTCTTATAAACGTTTTCAAAGAAAACAAGAAACAGAAAAAAGAGGGACGTTAATTGGTTTGGGTATCTAATAATAAGCTACGATATTGTTGATAAAAGTCAGATGTAGAAATTCCAAATAATTGTAATGAACGATATAACCCATTAACTTTAGCCTTTTTCTCACAATCTTTTAATACAACTTCTTGGTCTATTCCTTTATCTGAAGCAGATCCAATATTTTCATGAATAACACCAGTTTTTGTATTCTTTACAGAGACTTTAACAGAGACACAACACTCCCACTGTCCATCAATTTCTTCCATCTAAAGTTATAAGAATTTTAAACAAAATTAATGACTAATGAAAAATAAAATGTATAAAAAACAAACGTAATCAATATTTGTCATATTAAATATAATTTCATAATTCTCACCATGAAAAGCTTTACTCATAATTGACCTTAACTTGTTTTGTTCATCAACAATACTTTGTACATTAACATCAGTTGTTTTAAACTTATCCATTAAATTTTTTACTCTTAACTCTTCACTACTAATCCTTTCTGGGTCAATAATAATTCCTTCTTTTTGACTTTCATTCTTTTTAATCTCTTTTTCTCCTTGAGTAAATTTTCCTTCACTCTTACGCACTCTTGAAACAATGTCAATGACTTGGCTCTGACTAAACTCAGACAATTCACTTTGAGTAAATCGTTTTGGTTTTCTTTCTTCATTACTTTTCATAGACTATTATTGAGTTTTATTATTTTAAACCTTTCACTTTTCCTTTTCATTAATACAAAAATTTAAATTAAAATTTATCAAATGAGAAGTAAATTAAAAACGCTTAGAAGCATTTTCTGTGGACAATAGCTGGTCCTGATTCATCATATTCTTCTTTGGTAATCCACATATTTTGGAATGTAGAAAGTGATGCAAGAATTGATCCTCCAATCCAAACTGAATATTTTCTTTCTGGTGGGGCAATAACCTTAATCTTCATTGTTGGTGGTGCTAATTGAATCATTTCCTTTTCAAGTCTGGTGTTAATACCTGGATACATTGATGTTCCTCCTGAAAGAACAATATTTCCATAAAGATCCTTTCTAATATCAACATCACATTTCATAATTGAATTGTAGGTAGTTTCATGAATACCATTACATTCCATACCAAGGAATGATGGTTGGAAGAGTGCTTCTGGGCATCTGAATCTTTCATTTCCAACTGTGATAACTTGTCCATCTGGAAGTTCATAGCTCTTTTCAAGTTCACTGCTTGATGCTGCTTTTTGCATTTCTTCATTGAAATCTTCTGCAACATAGCAAAGTTTTTCTTTAATATCTCTAACAATTTCTCTTTCTGCAGTAGTGGTGAATGCATATCCTCTTTCAGTTAAGATTTTCATAAGATAATCAGTAAGATCACGTCCTGCAAGATCAAGTCTAAGAATAGCATGTGGAAGTGAGAATCCTTCATAAATTGGAACAGTATGTGAAACTCCATCACCTGAATCCATAACAATACCAGTTGTTCTACCTGATGCATATAATGAAAGAACTGCTTGAATTCCAACATACATAGCTGGGGTGTTGAATGTTTCAAACATAATTTGAGTCATCTTTTCTCTATTAGCTTTTGGATTCATTGGTGCTTCAGTTAAAAGAACTGGATGTTCTTCTGGAGCAACTCTGAGTTCATTATAGAAAGTATGATGCCAAATCTTTTCCATATCATCCCAATTGTTGACAATACCATGTTCAATTGGATATTTAAGAGTAAGAATACCTCTCTTTGATTGTGCTTCATCTCCAACATATGCATCTTTTTGACCCATACCAGCCATAACTGAAACATGTCTTGGTCTACCAACAATGGATGGGAATACAGCTCTTGGAGCATCATCACCAGCAAATCCAGCTTTACACATTCCAGATCCATTATCTACAACAAGTGCTTGAACTTCTTCGTCTCCCATGTTTATTTAATGACTATTTCAGTTTGATGTGATCTTTAAATACCTGGTTTTTGGAGTTCACTCTTTATTAAACTCCAAAGTTCTCCCTTTTTTTATATTTTTTTCACCTCCTTTTTTAGGATCTTTTAATTGTTAATTCTATTAAATCAAGATTTTGTCTCGTTTTTTGTTTTTTTTTTCAAAAATAAGTTTTTACAACAGTTAGAAATTCATCATTCAAAATAAATTTTTAGAAGTTTAGTTTTTGAAAGTGTATATTATTATAATAAAATGATATATATATCAAAAAAAACCAATATCATTCAATTATTTAATTAGAACCAATCAGAGTACCATTGGATTGTACCATCTGCACCAGTAGAGTAAATCCATGGTAAGAATGGATGGAATGCAATGTCAGTTCCTCCTAACTGACCCTTTTTTTCATGACCACCAAGTTTAACAATTGGAATTAGTATTGGATCAACAGTGACATCACTTGAAGCAGCCCCATGCATTACTTGAATTTCAGCGTCATCACCAATAGTTGCAAATAATGGTAAGATTTTATGAACATCAACAGCTCGTACTGCAGCTGTGTGAAGTCTTAAAACTTTAAATGGATCTAATCCAGCTTGAAGATCATACCAAATGCATTTCTTATCGAATGAACAAGCAATAAGGTGATCTCCACATGGATGGAATACAATATCAGTAATACTTTTAGATGGAACATTTAATCTTTTTTGAGTAACTCCTTTCTGTAAATCAATGATAACAATTTTAGATAAAGTAGCAATAGCAATCATTGGCTTTAATGGATGGAAAACACAACTTTGAATAAATCCTTTTAAATTCTTTGCAGGGTTTTGTGATCGTTTAGTTGGGAGATGGTGAATAACACAATAACTATTTGAAGAAGTTCCAAATACACATGCTAAATATGATCCTTTATGATGTAATGACAACCTTTTAACAAGATGTGGATGGTGAATAGCTAAAATGATACCCTCTTGTTTTAATTCATCATTTGGAGTAATAAACGAAGTTTTGTTTTCAAACACTTCAACCTTAACACTGTCTAATTCATAAATAGAATAATCAGTATCAACATCTCTAATATCCAATTTCATTCCATAAACAAATTCTCCTACAGCAATAAATAATACATCATCTTTTCCCCATTGAATGTCTCTAATAGCTTCAGGGAAATTAATTCTTTTAACTTCCATTCCAGTAAGAGCTTCTGTAATAAGTATTGAACCATCATCTCCTCCAGAAGCAACATATTCTCCACTTGGATCAACAACAATACACCTCATAACTTCTTTAACTTTAACAACTCCATTTCTATTTGAAGGGAATGGTCGTAATTCTTCTAATGGTGGAAGAATTAATTCTTTCAATGGATCTCTATGCTCAGGAACTTTAACAAGTCTTCTTGGTGCAACGTAAAGTTGAAGACATCTAGAATAAATATCATTGAGAAGATTAGAGTATTGTGGAATATCCATTAAACGATCATAGTTTGTGTTATTTTCATTCTTATATTCTGGAGCAGGATGATATGATGCTGAATTACCTGGTAATTTAACTGGTGGAAGAGGAAGGTGATATTTTTTTTTATGAACTCCAGCACCCCAAATATCCTTCACACGTGCCTTTTTTGTAACTTTTTGTGGAAGGGTGATAAATTGTTTACGTAATTTGGCAGCCAATTTCTTAATAAGAATATGTTCTTTTTGTGATGGAATAAATCTTTGTTTAGGTGGGGTATAATCATTTAATGGAATCATCCAATCATCATATGCATATGACACTGCTGGAAAATCTTGTTCTAATTGAGCATCACTCTTGTTAGAAATAATTGCATTAACTAATCTAATATCATCAGCATTTAATACTGTAGCATTTCCATATTCATCATAAACTGTTTTATAATAATTAGGGTCATCTGTCATAGCAAGGAATTGGTCAATAGAATCTAACTTTCCTTGTGTTGGTTTAGGCAAAGGCTTTCCTGAATGGTCATATCCTTGATGTTCTAACTCATTATACCACTCCAATGGAATATTTCCTAAGGTATCAATTGACTCTTCATCTGAAGTGTTTATATCATCATTCTCATTATCATAAATATCACGAACAGACATCTTCTTTTTATTTTATTTTAGGGTTTTTATTTTACAGTTTTTTTATATTTTAATCAAATAACACAAAATATAATCAATTGTTCATTCAACACTTTCTTTAATTTGTTTTGTTATATATGAAATAAAAAACTCTCTCCAGTTATTATGTTCTAAGTCGTTTAAGTATGGAAGAACTTTTTTCATTAACGAGTCTTTAATAACAATTTCTTTACATCCCTCTTTATAAATAACTTGTTTTAATACAGGAAACAGACAAGCCAACATTGCTTTGTAAGTTCTGTATTTCTTTCCATCAATTATAATATTAATATTTCCTTCATTTTTATTTAGTCTATGTAAGTCTTGCCATTGAATAAAAGGAATACAATACATTTTTACTAGTTCTTCTCCTCCTTTTTTTTCAATACCAACTTTTATTTTTTCTTTCTCAATTTTGTCAGGTATATTATTAATTAATTCACTTAGCAATATACTAATTTGTTGTTCAAGAATTACGTTATTTCCAAAGTAAGTTGTTCCAGAAATTATCATAGAGATTAATGGTATTACAACACTTTTCTTTAAATTCACTTTTGTGATTAATATTTTTTTATTAATCAAGTCTTTAAAGATTGGTAACGTTTTAACTAAAAACAGTTCATAATAAATATTTCCATCTATACACATAATTGTGAAAACATCAGTATCATATATAAGACTCATTAAAAAATATATAGTTTGTGAGAATTTAGGAACTTCTTCACTTGAAAGGATTGAATCTCCAATTATCAAGTCATCAGTTAATGAGATTAGATCTCTATTTTTATCTGTAATATCAACATTTGTTCTCATGCCAAATACTATTTCAGTAAATAAGTCTATAAGTATGTGTTTATTTCCTTGGCAGAATACATGTACATACCCATCACTATATATTACTTTCCTAATTATTTCATAAGAAATTTCATTTACAACACTAAATTGTTTGTATATCCATTCAGTCCCATTAAAAATTGATATTGCATTTTTTAATTTTCCTAAGTTAATAATTTTTCTTTCAGTAACTTCATTTTCAATAACTTCTTCGTCAATATCTAAGACTGCAATACATCCATTAATATTAATTAAAATATCAGATGATGTTTTAACAGAACTATTTACTAATTTTACAAAAGGAGCAAAGTTTGTAAGTTTTGCTTGGTACAAAATTTTATTATTTAGATTGTCTGGTTGTTGTGACAATAGAATAAGAGTATCATTAAATATACAATAATTCCATTCATTCATTAATATATCTATTGGTTCTATAACACTAAGATCATTTTGTAAATCCCAACGAAGAATTATCGTTTTATTTATTCTATTTATAATGTATAGTTTATTGTCTGAAAATTGTGTTTTTTCAATAACAAAATGTTCCCAATCATATTTGTTTGGTAATTTTTTTTGTATAACTGATGTAAATTTTTTGTTTTTAAAGAGTCCACATGATATTGTTTCTTTATAAATCCAAAAGCCATACACTACCCCATCTTTTTTAAATAAGTGATAATCACAATCAACTCCATTATAATGTTCAATACACCCATTCAATGAATAATTTATTGGTCTTTTTTTAAGAAGTTTTGCAATATGTGGTTGTATATTTAATAATTCGCTAGCAATAATTCCATCTTTATTTGTAGTTTCAGTATCAACTCCTTTTGAAATGAGATATCTCACCGCTTGTTCATTTCCTTTATTTGCAACATAATGTAATAAAGTATCTGAACCATTAAAACTATTTACTTTTGAAGAGTCTAATTCAATAACCATTTTAAATAAACTAAAGTTTGTTAAGATTAAAGTAAATAATGATTCATTAAATGAAGATCCTAATTCAATAGCCTTTTTAATAACTTCAAAGTTCGTAGTATCTGTAATTGTAATTACAGTATCTTTCAAATCTCTGATTTGACAACCATTCATAAATTCTGTTAATAGTTGAGTAGTTCCAAATGTAAGAATACTTTCACTTATCATTTTTATACTTGGCTTATTTAATTCAACAATCTCAGGTAATGAACAAATATAAGAAAATAATGAAATTTGATTGGCAATAACACAATTCTTCAATATTTTATCGAAAGGAAGAGAAAATGAAGATTTTATTTTTTTATCATTTAAGTAGATTTGATATAATTCTTCAAACAATTTAATGTCTCCAATTAGTCCTATAATTTCGAGTACTTTAGAAAGTAATTCTTTATCTGGTAGTTTTTTTATGAGATCAAATAAGATGACCTTTTTATTCAATGTGATTTCCCCAAGTAATAAGTAATAGACAAGACAGTATAAATTTCTATTTTTTTTATTATTGTTTATAAATTGATGTCCAGTTGTATTACCTAATATAAGTTGGTATCCATCTATATCACCTACTTGACACGCAGCAGTTAAACAACTTTCTTTTTTTGCATAAGATTTAGACCTATCACATCTCCTTAAAAGTTCTATCATAAAATCGGTATTATGGGAATAAATAATCGCTGCAAAATCTGTTTCAAAGTCATTTGGTAAAAGCTGAAATAAAGGTAATGGAAGTCCTATCAAACCAGAATGTTCAGGTATTTGAATATATAATGGAGTAGTAGTACCATAGTCATAAAGATAAGGAAAAATTCCATCATTAATATCAAGTATACTTGGTAAGAAATTATCATATTCTACTATTAATTTTGTATCAAGAAAATCAATTTTTATTTGAAAAATACCATTAATATAAACTTCAATTGATTTTCCATCTAGTTTTATTCCTAGTGCTGTATTTTGATGAATTGGTTGAATTATTTCTTCTGAGGAATAAAACGAAATAATTCCATTACTCATTATAGTTATTGTATTGTTATTGTTTTTTCCATTAATGTGTAATAGAAATGAACACCCTTTAAGAGGAACAAATTCTATCACTGTTGGTTTATTAACTAAAAGTGTTTTTGTAGAAAATGTTTTGCCTTCTTCAAAATAAAAGTGGTTGTTAACTCGAGGTGCAGTAAATAATGCTTCGTAGTGAAATAAGTCTGGATTTGAATCAGTTTTTTCTTTACAAAAAAGTTCAACAAGATTAGTATGACCATTATGAAGTAATATCCTTCTTAATTCACTCTCTTTTACACAACTATTTACCATAAGTACTTCTTTTATACCAAAAATTGCTCCTGCAACTTGACATTCCACAGTATTGGCTTCAAGTAAGTCTGTTTTTTTCATTTTACGTATTACATTTTGATTATTTTGGAAAATATATTCTTTCACTGACATCTCTTCTTATTTAAGATATATCTTTGATTTATGAGATGATCAAAACTCAAAAATTCCAGATTGAACTTAAACTGAAAACAATCCTTTTTCTGTATTGACGAAACAATAAACTTAAAACAAGAAACAAAGAGTGAAGAATGACTCAGTGAATTTTTAGTTGGTCCCTGTTTTTTTGGGATTTTCCCCAATAATTAGAAATTATTATTAATAACAATTTATTCTTTATAAAACTATTAAAAATTTTATTATTAAATAAGTTAATAAATAATGACAAATTAAAAAAAAAAAAATAAAAAAATTATAAAAAAAATTAATAATAAAGAAATATAAACAAAATGGGAGATGTCTCGAAATTTGAATATGATGATTTGTCTTTCTTTGGAAAAGATCTAAAATACACTTTAGATATTCAGTTATATAATACAAAAGGAAACGGAGACCAAACAATATCTTATAATGATGAAATGAATTTAATAGCTCAAATTGATCAACTTACAAACATCGAAGAACAACCTATTAATTGGGAAATATTAAGTAATCAAAAAGAAATGATTGATGGTGCTTTGAGAATTATTGAAGATAAGCTATTCAATACCTCTTCTTCTAATTCTCAGTTTAATAAATTTTTATGGGGTTTATTAAATTCTCATCCATCATTCCTTAAATTTAAAGAAGCGTTGACAAGCGTTATTGGACCAATTGCCTTTGAATATACAATAGAGTTATGGAAAACTCTTCTCTACCTTGGACGTCTGTAATTGTATTATTTATGTTATATATCCCATTTTAGTTGAATAAAAAGAACTGAAAAAAGTATTAGTCAATATGAATATAGGTGCACCACTTAAAATTTTTCATGAAAGTAAAGGTACAATAGTTACTATTGAGGTAAAAACAGGAGAGACGTACCGTGGTAGAATGGTTGAAACAGAAGATAATATGAATTGTCAGTTAAGAGTTTGTCTATTTTTTTCATTTTTTATGACAATAAAATAATTTATTTATATAGGATGTAACTATTACTGCAAAAGATGGAAGCCAATCTAGGACTGAGTACATTTTTATTAGAGGTAATCAAGTTCGTTTTGTTGTTCTTCCAGAAATGTTTAAAAATTCTCCTTGTTTAAAATCAAGTGAATTAAAAAAACATGTTCAAGCAAAAAAACCAAAGAAAAATAATAAAAAACCTGCTCTTGTTCAATCTTCAAAATAATACTAAAACCTATTTGAATTGATTTTTTATTTACCTTTTAAATAGTATTTTTTAAACACTTAGTAAATAAATTTATAACTTTTTTAGAGTATTTTAAGAAGTTCCTTTTTTTGTTTGTCTGTTAAAATTGTTGGATAATTCACATTTAAATGTAAAACCATATCTCCACGTCTATTTAGTACTAACATCCCTTTACCTTCAAGGATAATATCTTTTCCTTTAAGGTATTGCTCATTCAATACTAGTGAAATATTTTCATTATCAATATTTTCTATCTCTAATTTAATAACTGTCAAATATTCTTCTAAAGAAACGTCAGCTGAACAATGTAAATCACTCCCTATTAAATCAAAAAGTTCATGTTTTTTAACTTGAACAATAAACACTAAATCACCATTTCTATAACCATATTTTTTATTACCTCTATTTTCAAATACTATTCTGGTACCAACCTTTGACCCTTCAGGAACTTTTACTTGAACAGTATCTATTTCATAACTTTGTTCCCCTAATTCAGACACTATCCGTTTAAATCTAACCTCTTTTTTTGTTCCAAAAAATATTTCTTCGAGTGTTAAGTTTAAATTGAATGTTAAATCTTGAAGTTTTTTTCTTTGAAAACTTGGCCCTCCTGCAAACATTCCAAAACCACCAAACATTTCTTCAAAAAATCTGAATGGGTCTGTCGCATATTCACTTGTTCTGAACACAAACTGATCTCTATTGAAAAATTCAGAATGTGAAGTATTAGAACCTCTTGTAAATGCCTCTTTACCATATCTGTCATACAACACCCGTTTATCTTTGTCTGACAATATCTGATAAGCCTCAGTAATTTCTTTAAATTTTTCTTCTGCTTGTTTATCTCCTGGGTTCTTGTCAGGATGATATTTTAAAGCCTTCTTTCTATATGCTTTCTTTAATTCTTCGTCTGAAGCTGTTTTAGAAACATCAAGAATGGTATAATAATCATCAGACATAACGGATTATCAATTCTTAGTTTTGGTGATTTATTTTTTTATAAAAATGATAAACTTTTCAGACCATTTAAAGGTTTAATTAATAACAAACACAACTTATAATAATACTGTCAAAGAAGAAAAACATAACTCTTTGTGGTGGAAGAAACAAAACATGACCAAAGAACTTATCATTACTACAGAAGGAAATGCTATTTGAATAACCACCAATTTCTTTTACTAAAAGTATTAAAAAATACCAGACCAATAAGAAGCGGACCGTTTTCATATCTTTTTCTAACCAACTACAGGCTCATGAAGAATCTTTAAATTATCACGTGAGATTGAAAAACAAAAAAATCACGAAAGAACTTGAAAACATAATAACTAATCTTAAAACTCAGAAGAATGAAATAAAATATAAAAAAAATAAAAGTAAAGAATTGAAAAATAAAAAAGAAACTAAAAATTTATAATTTTATTAAGAATATGAAATTCACCTTATTTTTGTTTTTAATTGCAACCTCTTTTGCATTTTATGAAGAAGATTTTCTAGACGATTTTGAAGATGACTTGGATGATTATGAAGATTTCTTTGATGATGATGAGGAAGATTTTCTTGATGAAATGGACGATGAAGACGATTTTAATGACTTTGAAGAAGACAAATTAGAAGATCTCAACAATGAAGAAAATGATGAATATGAATTAGAACAAGACGCTGGTGGGGCAGATCCAAATGCTGCTCAACAAGGTGGTGCTGACCAAAGTGCTGGTGGAGCACAAGGAGGAGCTGCTGGTTCATGGTCACAGGAAGCTGAGAGTCAAGGTGGACAATCGCCTAATGCCATTATTGTTTCTGCTCAACGTTTAATCGCTGAAATGCAAGCTACGAGATAAACAAAGTATTGTTTCACAGTTGAGATAAAAACAGTACTACTGATTTAATTATTTTTCAATCTTATATTTTTTTATTAAACCATTATTACTTTACTTAATTATTAAATCATTAACGCACAATCAATTATTTCTTTTTGTCAATATTCATTTCTTTAGATTTTTTAAATTCTTTCTTCATAATAGGTTTCTTGGCTTCTTTCTTTGAATCTTTATTACTTTCTTTTTTTTGTATAGGTTTCTTTTCTTCAGAATGTCTCTTATCCTCATGAATAGGTTTCATATTTTGCTCAGTTTCATGGATAAATTCTTCCATAGTTTTTGTGTAATCGTTATCAATGAAAGGGACCTTTTTCATGTTTAATTTTAATGAGTCATACTTATGTTCAAAGTTTTTCCAATCCTCTGTCATCTTCCACTTCTTTTCATTTTCAAGTGCATATTTCATATTTTACTATATTCTAATGAAAAAAATAATATAATTATAATAATATTAATGATTTTCAAAAAAAAATAAAGAAAGAAGATAAACCCTAAAATGAAGAACTAAATAAAATTGACCTAAATAGTTGTTTCGTTGTCTGAATGAAGGAATACTATATCACTGCCAGATGTACTGATAAAGCTCACAACCCAAATGAAATCTTCAGATCAAGAGTTTTTGCACCAAATTATGTAGTTGCTAAATCTAAATTCTGGATGATGTTAAAGAAACAACACAAAGTCAAGAAGATAAATGCAGAACTTCTTCAATGCCAACCAATTTTTGAAAAGAATCCAACTGTTGTTAAGAATTATCAAATCTTCTTAAGATATGTTTCTGCTGGTGGAATTCATAACATTACTAAACAATACAGAGACGTCACTAGGGTTGGTGCTGTTAGACAAATGTACAACGACCTTGCATCACAATACAGAACAAGACAAGACAAAATTCAATTAATTAGTATTACCACTGTTGGAGATAAAGCTATTAAGAATCCAGTTCTCCATCAATTTGTTGGACACCATGTTAAATTCCCAATGGTACATTGTAAACCAGTTATTGCATCAAAGAGATTTAATCTCCCAATTAAAGCTGGTAAATTGACTACAAAGCTTTGCTAATGAAATTTAATTTGGGCATTTGTTATGTGTTGGTTTGTTTTATTTACTTTTTAATTGTTTTTTTAAAAGAGAAAAAATGTTTTTTTTTTGTTTATAAATCTTAAAGTCATAAGAAATAAAAATAAACGTCTCTTCTTTATTAATAAAAGATGAACTTAAAAATATTAATTAATGAGTAAAATTAAAAAACGTTGTATATTAGAACAATTTTATATGATGTCAGTTGCTATGTATTTGTATGACTTTGATTCATTAAAGTTATTCTGTTGTGTTAATAAAAAATGTGAAGGAGCTACAAGTAACTTAAAAATTAATCCTAATTTTCAAGACTCATTATATTATAGAAGGAAATGTACATTAAAACAAAGAACTA